TCACGAAATTGAGGAATTTTTATCTTGAAAGAATTTGCGAAGAACCCGAAATGTTTTTTAATTCTGATAAATTTATCCATATAAAAGCACCTTTATTAGAATACCTTTTAAAACGGGATGATTTAAGTCTGGATGAAGTTGATATTTGGGATAATTTAATTAAATGGGGTTTTGCTCAAAACCGAACTATTCCTAAAGAAGTTACAGAATGGAGAAATGAAGAAACAATAGTTATGGAAAGAACTCTTCATAGATATATCCCTTTAATTAGATTTAATAATATGTCTTCACGAGATTTTCTTGAAAAAGTCCTTCCTTTTAGAGAATTACTACCGAATGATTTGGTTGTTAACATTTTAGCATATGCTTTGGCACCTGATATGAAATTGAATATTAATGTGCAACCACCAAGACAGTCAAAATGTGATTCAATCCTAGTTAATTCTCGACATTTTGCTATTTTTTCCGGTTGGATCGATAAGAAAGAAAATAACGATTACAAGAAAACTCATAGTTTTAATTTACTTTATCGTGCCAGTCGAGATGGTAATACAGCTGCAGCATTTCATCAAAAATGTGATAACAAAGGGGCCAATATAGTCGTAATAAAAATTAGCGGAACGGAACAAATAATGGGAGGATATAATCCATTTGGGTGGAAAGGAAATCATCAATTGAAACCTACCAAAGATAGTTTTATTTTCTCATTCGTAAATAAAACAAACTTCCAAACTGCAAAAGTGGGTTACATTAAGAATGAACATGCTCAACAAGCTATATTTTGTGATCCAAAATATGGACCAGTATTTGGTTGTGATAGTAGAAGTAATGATTTTTATTTTTATGATAATTATTGGAATGGTAATAACCCAGCTGCTTATTTTCAAATTGATATTCCAAAAGGTCAATTCAAAGCAGATGATTATGAGGTATTTCAAGTTAATAAAAGATAAATGTAGTATATATTGCTAATTTCATCAATTCTTATGTTTATTTAAATTTGCCAATTTATTGAAAAACAAATTGGTTTTTACATAAGTGAAAAATAAAAACAAATTTAATTAGGCACATAATTAACTTTAAAGGAATTCTAATTCACAATTATTAAAGTTGGAGGATTTATTAAGCAACTTGGTTGACAGTCCAATAAATGATTGTACAAACAAATATTTAAAACTTATAATGATCAGATAAACTAAAACAATTTTTACATTATAGATAAGCTAGCTCTAATATAATATATCAAATAGGATTTTTTTTTCCAGATGAATTTGCAATATCAGTAAATTTATAAGATTAGTAAATCAGCAATTGAATCAACATAAGATGATGGGATTATACTCTGAGATTTTCCAAGATCACAATTATATTAAAAGCTTCAGATATAGTCTTTGATATGATTATTATGACAGAAGAATTTTTGAATGGAATTCACGAAGGAGATCTTTGATATTTGTGAAAATGCATTAGAATGTAACATTATTAAAAGACTACTAGCATCTTAATTATAGATACAGTATTATACCTATAATGACAAACAATCCAGATATAAGAGTAGAACATTATGAAATTATAAGGATTACTGAGTATACAAGATATATGAAAAGTTAGGGTGAATCATTCATATATAAAAAAGCAGATCGATGATAAGACCTTTTACAAAACTTTTGTAAAGTACTACTCTATTTTACCATTATTTTGAATTTGAAATTGAGATTATGTTGGAGATGGAGAACGTGATAGAGTATTTGATGGTAATGAAAATGTGATGGAAAACGTGTTGGTGATTGGGAACGTATGTAAAATGTGATAGAGTACATGATTGTGATATGAAAATTTTATGGTTAGCGATAAATAAAAAATGTATCACCATACGAGTATATCTTCTATTATGAGTAAACAATCAAAATTATTATTTTCATTAAGCCAATTGATAAGGGTGTTCCAATGACGTTGTTCTTAATAAAATTATAAATTTTAGAATATGGTCAATATTAACAAAATAATATTAACAAGATAAAAGTTAAAGATATTATTTGTTTAATCAAACGATGTTCAATTAAGAATTGTTTTTCTAGAACGATGTGGATCGCTTTCTTTATTCTTGAACGATACATCTGTTTTGACTGTACCAAAATTTGATCACCATAGCTATGACTAATCATTATGGCGGATCTGTTGGAATTGACTTTTTGGACCACTATTCGGACTTCCTGGACAGATGGAAGATATGTCAAAATGACCACTTTTGATTCAATATGCAAAATAAATACAGTCAGTACATTAATTACGAAAAAATAGGAGGTAACAATAGTTCTAGAAAAATGAATCATTTCGTTGTCTAATTGAAAGATGCATCACAGTGTCATTCAAGTACATCGTTCTAATTGAAAGATACATTGTTGTTTAAGAAAAAGATTTTTTTCATCGTACTAATTGAATGATTCATCATGTTTTAATTCAACGATACATTATCGGTCTATTTGAACGATACATCATCGTTCAAAAGAAAGGTACGACTTTTTTATTTATATATTGAACTATCGTCATCGTTCTAGTTAAGCGATTCAGCGTAATTCAAGAAGAATGATTAGTAAATCAATTAATTGTAGAAATAGTTGTAACGCTTCTTTATCATTCAAGAACTGTTAATTATTAGTGTTCATCTTGACTTTTTGGTATAAAATAATTAATAGACCAAATTTTATACAGTATGAATTTTAATAATTTTATTTAGATTGCAATCTAAGTCCTAACTTATATAAGACCACAACCTAGGACTGCAACATCGGGACCGGTCTTAGAATCTAGTCTTAGGACCTAAGTCATATGGGATTAGACCTGGAAGTTTCAAGACTGTACTAGGAATGGGCTGGATCTTAACATCTCTAATCGTAAAATAGATGCAAAAATGAGAAGGATGAGAAAGTTAAAAACAAATTGCTATATTTAAACTAAACTTATTTAATTTCGTACTCTCAAATCCGAACTTTTTTAAGGAATATTTATGATTAGTGAACTGAATAATGAAAAAATATACAGAAGAGATAATTACTATGCTAAATTCTTTACATATGATAGTGCTGCTATAATTGAATACAAATATTTCCAAAAAAAGAAATATTAAGGATCTTTATTTTTATTAAAAAAAAATAAACAAATCTAATAAAGCAAAAATACATTCGACCGATAAAATAACAAATCATTATTTGATACATCATATAGAAACTAGCATAAAAAGAAATCCTATTTTGGTACGTATTGAAACTTTTAAAAGATAATAAAAGTTAAAAATATTAAAATGATTAGGTATGCAAGTTTATCATAAAATATACCTTTAAAAATAAACAGAATCGGATCAAAGCTACCTTCATAAATAAACAAAAGTTTTGAGGTTAAAATATAATAAGGAAAAATTGATCAAATTTATCATTCTTAGATTTTTATACAACTGTATTTCAAGTATTATTATTATATTCCTATGAAAAATTCCATACAGTTTTTGTGTAGTTTTTATGTCAAAACAAACATTACAATTTTTGGACTATGCAGAATGCTAAAACATGAAATAACCCAAGTACCTATGCGTTTAAATTTATAGCACATTTTTCCTACAATATCTGAATTAGAAAAATCAACTGTACTAGAGAATAAAGTTTTTATATGATTATTTCCTAGTTTAAATTTATTATCATAAATAGTATTTTGTTTGCTCTGTAAGTTTTACTTTTACCGTCAAGAAAGGTTTTAATCTCAGTTTTTTATTATTTGCAATTTTTGTAAAAAATTAATTAATTTAATTTACCCCATCTTTTAGTAATATTAAATTTCCATACGTCGATAGAATACTATAAAATTTGTATATTTTAATTTTTCAATACTATTTCAACACAATTTTTATATATTTTAAATTTCAAATTTTTTTTTCTGTACGATTTCTCAATGTTACAATTTGTGTACAATTATTTTTGTATGGAAAATTGAAATACCCTATGAAAAAAAGTTGTACTGATTTCATACAGTGTATACTGAAATCATACCGTTTTTGTGTAATTATTAAGGATTTTGGCCAAAAACTTCATTTAATAATTACGTTTATCTATTATGATCCTTATGATTTTGGGGCCTTTGCAATAAAAAGGAAAACTGTCGGAATAATAAAAATGAGTTAATACTAAATTTGAACATATTTCAACTAAAAACCATATTTGGTATATAAAAGTAAAATTGATTTTTCCTGGCAGTTTTCCCCTTTTCTATTTTTTCTATTGCAAAGACCCACTTATTTAAATAAAAAATTTTTTACGATCAATTTTAAACTTAATAAGTAATTTGCTAATATTTCTATAAATGTATTTATTCAAAATTTATTTGAATGGTATCCTAAAAAATCTGCAAATTAAACTAGGACAAAAGTGGCCTTTAAAAATAAATTACAGTCAGACTTGTCCATAACCACCTCGTTTGGTCAGATGGAAAATATTTGCTTATAAAAATGTAATATTACTTACGTATGTATTTTTATTAATTTAATCATAATTGGCTTTAATATAGGGTGATTATAAAAAGGTTATTATAATATTATATGGTATTAGACAGTAGACATTGTAACACTTAATTTTAGCTTAAAATATAAAAGCGTTGTTTTGGGCCAAAGATTTTTACAAAAAATCGAGCACTTTAGTTCTTTTTTTTTCAATTTTGGGTTCATTTGTTTTAAATCGCAACGATGGAATACTTATCAATCTAAGTCTTTTCTATATGCCTTTATTTTATTATTTTGTGCTTTTCAGATTCGTGAAGTATCAGTTTGAATTTTTATTTTTGTTTATTTTTACTATTATTAATATTCATTAATAATATTAATTTTAGAGAAGTTTCTTTTTTGATTATATTTTTTAGAGATTTCACAATAATTTTTTTTTATATTATCTTTAAATTATTTTCCCATTTTCTTAAAATATTTCTTACGTGATATTATAATGCAATGCTGCGACCGATCTTTGGGTTACTTCATACATTTTCTGCTATAAAGATTATTAACCACTTGACGTTATCATAACGAATCACAGTTAGATATTTACTTAATCACAATTAATAATTTTAGTAATATCATTAACATTCTAAAAAATACGAATTTTTGAAACAAATCTGAGTATAAATTATTTAAAAATATAAAATTTTACATAACGATCTGATATATTTTATCTGCAAATGTAGTCTAAATATTGTGAAATTTCTAAATGGCAACTAAGATACTCCAAAATTAATACTACGAGAATTGTTAACAATATTAATCATCTTTATAACGGCAAAATAGATTTCCTTAACCAAAATTTATGATCTGACAGAGTAAATAACTTTATAAACTTTCTTATAAGCGAATATTTAAATGCACAAACAATACCAGAAATATCAAAACCTTTAATTATTGACATCTATAAAGTCAGTATAATTTTATATTTAAATATTTAAATATTTCATTAAACACCTTTTAATTGTAATGAGCTAGAAATTTCTAATTCATGTAATTGAGAATCTTTGCAATATTAAAAGTCATTAAAGTTAGTATATATGTTTTTATTATTGTAAATAAAATTAAGAACATACCTTCATTATTATCATTTTCAAGATATGGAGTAATAAGCGATGAATTAATTGGTTTTGTCAAATTATTAAACTCAAATGCCCTACTTGTATATATAGCGTCAGGATTTGTTTTGCGTGAAATTGAAATATTTGGTATATCTTTATCAGCTTCTTTAAATGCTTCTTTTATTTCTTTTCCAAAATATCCATATTTTTTAGTTTCCTTACAATCCTCATAAAATTTAATAGATTTATACCAAAAACGCAATATACCCCACAACTCCTTGCTTGTTGGTCTTTGATTTGGATCTGCATTCATACACCTATAAGCTAACTTCTTATAAAATTCAGGAGTTCCTTTTCCAAATTCTGGACGAAGTCCATTACAAATATCTAAGGATAAAGACACGTCATGTTTTCTATCATAAAATGGAGGGTTTCCAGTTGATAATTCAGCCATAATTACACCAAAACTGTAGATGTCAGAAGCAAATGTATATAATTCTCCATTCAAGACTTCTGGCGCGATATATGGTAATACTCCATATATTTTATCATTCGAATTTTGTTTATCTGCTGGTCCTGCTAATCCAAAATCTGAAACATAAGAAGTTTGATGTTTATTTAGCAATATATTTCCACTATGAAAATCCTTATGACAATATCCTAAATTTTGTAAAATAGTAAGTTCACTAATAATGTAAAATAAATTTTGAATTTTTTCTTTCCAAAAAATATTGTTAAAATTATTTGAAAGAAAACTTCTCAAATTTCCATCAGGTAAAAATTTTACGATCATAATAAATTCTTTAGTTTCTGGATCTTTAGTTATTCCATAAAATTCTATATTGTTCATACTAATACTATTTATATTAAAATCCCAATGTGTTTTTAGCTAGTTTTTTTCATAAAAGGTTAAAAAATTATGAATATTCTATTTAATAAATATCAAATGTAAAAGTAAAATACCTCATTAAAATAATTGGCTGACATATTTTGTGATCCATTTAACCTTTTCAAAGCAACCTTCATAGGTTC